CTCCCAGAACTTACACCAAAAAGTACTACCCGCTCGAGCGCCAGAGTACCCGCTCGAGCGTAAAGAAACCCACTCGAGCGTAAAAATCACACTTGCAGAAGTTTTGTAGGGACACGAAAAACTGGGAGTGTGCAATCTCCGCTCGAGCGCAACAAGGCCCGCTCGAGCGCAACGACAAAAAACCTGGCAACAAGATTTCAGACCAAGGTTCAAGCCACCTGTTCAAAACAAGCCCAACACATCCTAAAACTCAAACAAATGGAATTTAAGGACGACAATAAGATTGATACAACTACCAACTCCACGGAACCGAGTCCAGAATACAACAGAACAATAAATGAACAACCGGGATCGCTATAACACCATACGAAAATTTTGATAAAAATTGTTGGCTGTCTAACATTATTGCACCTCAAAACGCATCACATATGAAATCAATTGCGTTAGAGATTTTAGAGGGATCGTTGTTACTTCTTTGGGACAGATGTTTGTCTACAACGAATTGTTCAAGGTCTCGTGATCTTTCTTGTGTCACTTCATTATTTATTTATTTTATTTTTTTCTAATCTTATTTATTTATTTGTTATTTTTATTTGGTTATGAGAAAATTATTGAAAAGTTCAATATAAAGAGGGTATAAAGCATTAGGTTTAATAAATATTTTTTTTATTAGTGAGAGGTTCATACTTTGTGAAATAATTTGGTGAAATTTTTTTTAATTTGTTTTGAACGACATTATGTTTCTAATTTAACCCTTAATTTATCTGTTAATTTTTTTTTTTGACTATATATTCAAATTTATATCTATATGTTTAAATTTTTTTTCTATCTATTCAAATTTTTTAACTATCTATTCAATTTTTTCATTTATTTGGTTAAATCTATTTGTCCAAATTTTATTGTCTGTTCATTTTTTCCCTGGAATTCTATTTGTTGATTTTTTTCTCTATTCAAATCTTTGTTATTGAAATACACCAGACGACGATCTGTTCAATTTGAACAGAAACAACAAATTTTTATCCAAACAGATATGTTCAACAAGAGATCTAAACAGGTAAAAAAATAATTGATCTATTGAAAATTTTCATTCTCAAACACACACCTACATACACAGATGATCCATTATCTGCACAAAATTAAGCTACCAAAAATCAAATAAGCAAAAGACATTTTCCAAGGAAAAAAAAAAAACTTGAAATACAAAATTTTTCTAAGAAACCAATCTGGGCAAGGAGAGAAAGAGAGAGAGATACAGAAGTGTTGTAGAGAAAGAAACAAATCAATTCTCGGTCATCAACACCTTCTTGGCCTACTCGGAGCTCGGGTCCCACATGTTATCGAGTTAGATTTGGAGCTCCTCCTCGCTGTGGGTGTACCAGCAAGTGTCGTCGTGACTGCACAACCCATTCGATTGCCGGAAGTAGGAGCAGAGGCTTGTCTTCCACAAAGGGTGCACAACTTCTTCTTCGGCTCTCTCGCTTCTCAATTGGTTCAAGTGAATCAGTTAGTTGAGGATTGGACGGCTCTGATTGTTCTGGGGGAATTTGATGGGGTTGTTCAATGGAATTGTGGCTGTTGATGGGGAAGTCGATTAATGCACTGAATTTGGGATCTCCTACAAGTTTGGACAGTCAATCCTCAAATTTAAATAATTTCATGCCCAAACTAGCAATGCCCCAAAACAAAAACCAATCCACATAATTGACTGTAATTCCTTCCTCACCTGCCTCGTTATCCTTACAATTTTACCCAATACATCTCTTCCAAGCGACATGGGCACAACTGGTCGACCCCACCAATCTGAAGCACTACGGTCAATTTTAGAGCTCTTCATGTGATCTATTGAACGCTGCACAGATCTTCGAGTGAAAACTAGTGCATTGAGCAATGAGTTGCTAGCAAGTCGGTTAGCTCCATGCAAACCTGTGCAAGCAACCACACCAACCACGTATAAATCGTGCACATTTGTCTCACCTTGTAGCCCTGCACAAACTCCTCCACATATGTAATGAGCAGTGGGAAGCACTGGAGTTGGTTGACGGGTTATATCTAGGCCATATTTTAGGCACTCGGAAGCTATGTTGGGGAACTGAGAGAATTTTTTCTCTAGGTTTGTGGCTTATATCAAGTAGCACATATTTCTCGTTGCGTTTCTTGAGTTGATCATCAATACTTATAGCTACCACATCCCTAGAAGCAAGCGCCGCCCTCTCATCGTAGAGGGGCATGAATCTTTCCATGCCTAGATTGTAGAGTAATCCTCCACCACGTCTGACAGCTTCAGTGATCAAAAAAGCATTTTCCCGAGTCTTGGTTGGTGTGATGGGAAGGCCTTCATTGGCCAAAGCAGTTGGGTGGAACTGAACAAATCTGGCAACAAAACAATGCAACAGACCTCAGTCACTAATCTAATGGTTTGCCTGAAATTAATCCATGTATCATACAAAATGGGATGAAGTCTATATCCAGGTTACTAGATGATAATAAGATAAAATTGAAAATATAATAGAATATATGTTTTCAAACACTTCATGATAATAAAAAATAAAAATTTTAAGAAACGACATGATCATTGTTCTTCACCAAATCATTGCAATTACACCATGCAGATAAACAGGACAATCAGGTTTCATTTTATGGCATCTCTGTACCTTGAACCCTTGCACATAATATTAAGACATTAATCCATTTGGGTAAAACATAATTGTCCTTTTTTAAAAAAATAAAAATAAAGTTTGACACAACAATGATAAGGAATTAATTCTTTTTGGATAATGCTAAGGATACCAAATTTTCACCAAACAAATGATTAAATGTGTGGAGTGACCAAATGTCTCACATGGGTATGGGGTCCGCAATTTTGGAAACCCCACACCCATGTGAGACATTTAGTATTTGTTTGGTATAAAATTTGGGGCTTATAGCATTTTCCATTCTTTTTTGACATGTATCAATGATTGCGTACTCTATGTTGGAAATCGCATCTTGGGCTCGATGGGCCATTGCCATTCCATCACCAGTGGCTACCTATAAGAATATATCAAAAAAGAATCAAAATATGGTTCATTATGCAAAACCAACAGGTTTAATTCTTCTAACTTTTTACACATACAAAATTATGTAGAAACATGGCTGAAAATGCAACTTTTTCTTCCAGAACCAAATCAAAAAACAAATTCTTTCAAGTAGAGCTGGTTATAACTTATAACCGATTAAAAGCCTACAATAAAATGAAACATGGATGCAATACTTGTAAAAATGAAGGGGATATAAGAATGGAAAAAGTGGGAAACATGACAGCCAGACCATTTCAATTTCCCAATCTGTATAACTTTGAATTGATGATGTCATTAGAAAACAAGTTTACTTTGATAATTAAGGAAATTTTTAAAGAAAGTACAATCACAAATAGTCAACCTCAATTGTCAAAAATAGGACGGTTTCTAGACTTTAAATATATTGCGCTATGCACCATAAAGGTGCTTTCAAGCAACCCATGAGAGGGATGTCATACCTGGCATTGTTGTGACTGTAATTTTGCTTTTTGAATTAAATGAGTTATTATGTATGTGGATCATCCAAGAGTTCAAGTGATGACATCACCTACACCTAAATGCTGTTTTCTGTGGCAACCACAAGTTTTTGACGATGGATCAGGTTTTTATTAATAATGAATAGTGATCCGACCTGAAAAGTGAATATTCCCCTCATACCTATGCAAAACATATCATATCGATTTTCATCCTTGGGCCTTCAAACAAGTTAGTAATCATAGAGAAATCATGGGTGGAATGGCAGGCTTATAATTACCTTCATTATATACAATGTAGGAGGCAGTAGATGTTGTGAAAGGCTAAAGTGGAAGTGGTAGAAGGATTGGGCTGTTCATTATATACAAAAGTAGTAGGAGGTAGTGGATGCTATGGGCAGTTAGTTATTTCAAAAGTGGAAGTGGTAGAAGTATTGGGCCCATCAACTACTGTAGAGAAAAGAATAATGCATAATAAAAATCAACTATAGCTATAAGTACTCAATATAGTTTTAAAAAAACACATAAAGGGTGTATATACCTTGATAGTTGATTAGTAAAATGTGTCTTCTTTCCCACTCTTGATTTAATCGATAATAATCACTAAATTTTGACCAATCTCGGTTGACCTTTGGCCTACCTGAGTAATGGTTTTTATTTCCACAAGAGGGTCCCTCACAGTACACTCAAAATCCTCCTCCAAACCATACTGACGTGGGCTTAAGTCAGACCGATGATGGATAGCCTTCTTAAAACAAATAAGAATTGTTCGAGACATGCCTAAGATGGCCTGTCCCCTCAAGGGAAATGGAAGAAAGTCCACAGGTAGCCTTTCATAAGGCTTTCATATTATTTGTAATAAAATAAAAGGAATCAAACTAGTGAATTATATACAAAAAAAAAAACTACCAATTGATTAAATAACTTGTGTGAAAAACTTACTTCATCGCCTTCCAAGTTTTCAAAGAATTGAACAAAATTATTCATCTGATGGTGGTTCCAATTGTCCCTTGTGATTGGACGAAGGATATTTGACCATTGCACAATCAAAGGGAACTCTGTGATGGCATCCCTAATCTCAAGGATGCGAAATTGCTCAGCTAAAGTAGGGATACGCTCAAGAGCCAAAAAAAGAAAAAAAAAAAAACATATCAACCAAATATATAAAACCAAAAAAGAAAGAAACAAATTTAAACATGAAATTGTTGCTCACCATTAATGCATAAAAACAGCCAAAAATCTCCTTTCTATGATGGACATTATTCTTCAACTTTGCCATTGAACAGTGCAAGTGTGATAACAGCACAACCCCCCACGCATAACTTTTTATTTCATTGATGTTTTCCAACAGAGGAAGAAACAATATTGAAACGTGAGCTCCGGATGGATCTATAACTATAACACACCCAATGACATATAGCACGTATGCCCGAACATACTGGTTAGATTCCGAACTGTTCTCCTCGACATGATGTGGGACAATCATAAAAACTTTCCTGAGCCATCTTAAAGTGACATTCAAGGTGGTCATTTCCTTTCCCTTCTTTATTTCTCTTGATACGTTATCGAATCCCAAATATGTCTGACATATTTGGGCTGGGTCAGAATCATTCCCTCTAGTGACTGGCTTGCCATCTACAGGAAACCCCGTTATATATAACATATCCTCTAATCCAAAAACAAGGGTATGAGGATCCGCAACCCCAAACTTAAAGCATATTTCATTTACATCATATTTACTAATCATCGCAGAAATCAAATAACACATATTAGTAAATATGATGATTAGTAAATATGATGCAAATGAAGGATGCTTTAAGTTTGGGGTTGCTGATCCTCATATCCTTATTTTTGGGTTAGAGGATATATTATATATAACGGCATTTCCCGTATATGGTAAGCCAGTCACTAGACGGCATGATTTTGACCCAGCCTAAATATGTCAGACATATTTGGGATTCGATAATGTATTGAGAGTAATGAAGAAGGGGAATGAAGTGATTACCTCGAATGTCACTTTAAGATGGCTCAGAGAAGTTTTTATGATTGTCCCACATCATGTCGAGGAGAACAATCCGAAATTTGACCGGTTTGTTTGGGCATATGTGCTATATGTCATTGGGTGTGCTATAGCTCCAGATCCATCCGAAACTCATGTTTCAATATTAGTTCTTCCTTTGTTGGAAAACATTAATGAAATAAAAAGTTATGCGTAGGTGATGCGCTGTTATCACACCTACACTGTTCAATGGCGAAGTTGAAGAATAATGTCCATCCTAGAAAGGAGATTTTTGGCTGTTTTTATGCATTAATGGTGAGCCACAATTTCATGTTTAAATTTTTTTTGTTTCTTTTTTGGTTTTATATATTTGGTAGAATTTTTTTTTTTTTTTTTTTTTGAGCGTATCCTTACTTTAGCTGAGCAATTTCGCATCCTTGAGATTAGGGATGCCATCACAGAGTTCCCTTTGATTGTGCAATGGTCAAATATCCTTCCCCCAATCACAAGGGACAACTAGAACCACCATCAAATGAATAATTTTGTTCAATTCTTTGAAAACTTGCAAGGCGATGAAGTAAGTTTTTCACACAAGTTATTTAATCAATTGGTAGTTTTTTTTTTTGTATATAATTCACTAGTTTGATTCCTTTTATTTTATTACAAATAATATGAAAGCCTTATGAAAGGCTACCTGTGGACTTTCTTCCATTTCCCTTGAGGGGACAGACCATCTTAGGCATGTCTCGAACAATTCTTATTTGTTTTGAGAAGGCTATCTATCATCGGTCTGACTTAAGCCCACGTCAGTATGGTTTGGAGGAGGATTTTGAGTGTACTTTGAGGGACCCTCTTGTGGAAATAAAAACCATAACTCAGGTAGGCCAAAGGTCAACCGAGATTGGTCAAAATTTAGTGATTATCATCGGTTAAATCAAGAGTGGGAAAGAAGACACATTTTACTAATCAACTATCAAGGTATATACACCATTTATGTGTTTTTTTAAAACTATATTGAGTACTTATAGCTATAGTTGATTTTTATTATGTACTATTCTTTTCTCTACTGTAGTTGATGGGTTCAATCCTTTTACCACTTCCACTTTTGAAATCCCAACACAAACCAATTGCCCACAGCATCCACTGTCTCTACTTTCGTATATAATAAACGGCCCAATCCTTCTACCACTTCCACTTCTAAAATCCCCCACAAACCAGCCTTTCACAACATCCACTGCCTCCTACATTTGTATATAATTAAGGTAATTATAAGCCTACCATTCTACCCATAATTTTCCTAGTTGTCGAATAGATGTGTCCAACCCCACCTGATGCAAGCAAAATCACCTTTGAAATAAACCGTACGACCTACAAGTTTAGGAAAAGCAAAATAATAATTGTAAAAGGTGAGAATAAAGAAATGAAGTTTCCTAGAGAAAAAAAAAAGAAAGAAAAAGAAGGAGCACACACTTACAGTCATTTTAAGAGTTAATAAGGAAAAGAAACTACGAGATCAAGAATCACAATTCTCAGCTCCCATGTTTCAGAATTCAAAGTGTTAACACCATGACAAAGCGTGTGTTTGGGAAGTGAATTTTTTTGTAAGTTTTTTTAGTTGTAAGATATTATTAGAGAAAAAAAAATTGTGTTTGGGAAGATAGTTGGGTTTTTTTTGTGGTTGGATATGATATTTGTGAGAGAAAAAGTGAAATGATTATGGGGTTTGATATGATATTTTGTTTGGATTGGTTTTTTTTTATTTTGTAAAACATTTTTCTTGTAGTGAAAAAAATAAAAAAAAATAAAAAAAAACCCAAAAATCAACTTGCCAAACATCGCCAAAATGTGTCAGAACCATCCTGCAAGCCTAATAATGCATATTCAAGTTAGTCAAAACCTGCAGAGTATTTTAGTTCTTGAGAGTCCTCTTAACACCATCAAATAAACACTAATAGAACTTTCACAAATCACACTTGTCCTCGCATGAATGTACATTTACTCATGCCAAGTTGCCAACAAAAAAGTGAGACTAGTTACAATTTAGGCTATGTTACACAGACTCGGCACTTTGGGGCGAAGTATTCATGTCGACACGACACGACACGGGTGCGGGTGTGGGATCTGTGTCGGATTCGCCTTTTCTCTCTCGGACACGACTAATCAAAAAGAAAGAAAGTTGAGATACTTACATTGATGTATGGGTTCAAGATCTTGATCTGTCTTTCGATCTTGTTCTCTGTCTCGATTTTCTTTTCTCTCTCGATCTTCTTTTCTCTGTATCACGATCTCTTTCTCTCCCTCGATATCTCTCTCGATCATGCTGTGTGTGTGAGAGAGAAGAAAATAGAAGAGACAAACTCCATCTCGTGCTGTTGTGCGTGTAAGAAAGAAGCGAAGAGGAGAAGGGTTGACTGGCTGTTGCTGCTTGTTTGTATCAAACCCTAATGGGCTAGACCAAATAAATAAATAAAAAGCTTGACCCTATTGGTTAGTTAATATTATAAACCCTAATGGGTTGGACCCAAAAAATTAAATAGAAAGCTTGGGCCTATCGACTGTTTTATATCATAATAATTACTATTATAAACCATAATGGGTTAGACCCAAAAAAATAAATAAAAAATTTGGGCATATTGGTTGGTTTGTATCGTAATAAACCTTGATGGGTTGGATCCAAATATATAAATAAAATATTTGGGTCTATTTATAAACTCTGTTCAACAATAACATGGGTTGTTCTATGACCTAAGATATATGGACTTATCGGTTTAGGGTAGAGTACTGTGTCGACACGACACGGGTGTGGGTGTGGGTGTGGGTGTGAGATCTGTGTTGGATTCGGCATGGTTTTCTCGGACACGGCTGACATGAGAGAAGAGTGAAGAAGGATTATTGAGAAACTTACAAGTTGCAGTGGAGAAGGAAGCGAATCTGGTGAATGAAGCGATCGCCATCTCCATCGCCATCGCCATCTCAAACTTTTATTCTCACTAGCGATCTCGATCTGTCTTCTTCTCTTTGTCGGTCTCTTAATCTTCTTCTCGCTGTCGATCGATTTTCTTCTCTCTATCGATCGATCTTCTTCTCTCTCTCTCTCTCTTTCTCTAGATCTTCCTCTCGTTTACTCTGTCTCTCTATTTGTGTCTATCCATCTTCTACTCTCTCTCTCTCTCTCTCTCATTTTCTCTCTCTTCTTCACTTCTCGTTTTTTTGACTTTGCTTATCTCATTTATAACACACACACACACACACACACACACATACACACATATATATATCAATTAAAAAAAAGAGTTTATATGCATAAATTTAAAATATTTTTATTAAATATTTTATTTCTTATTTGTATGATATGTGAGACCAACAAAATATGATAATGCCAAAAAAAATAAAATATTAAAAATTTCTAGTATTACTCATATAAATAATGTATATACATTCTATTTTTTAATTTTATATTGCGATTTTTTTATATTTATATACAAAATAAATAAAAAATTATTTTGTTTACATAGAATTTATTTATATGTGTCTTCTACAATAGAATTTAATGGTAATAAAGAAAATTTATTATATTTATATACAAAACTAAGATCTTTTTACTTGGGATTGATTTGGGAATGTAAAAAATTAGTAAAACAATCAAAAAGCTATCCATAAAATCAAAAAATTAAAAGTCTATTAATATTTCATATGCCGTGTCTCTGTATCCATATCTATTTTTTTTATACTTTTTAGCCGAGTCCCCTTGTCCTTATTTTTATGAATAGATAAATCTGACACTTAGGCACATAGCCATATCCGACACCCGCACCCGAGTCCGTGTAACATAGCCTAAGATTGTACAAAATTCTTAACAGCAAACATTTCTCTATAATTCTTACCAAAAAAACCTTATTCATACCCCAAAAAAAACCTTTTTACCTGCAGTAATCTTTGTATGCCAACACATACGAAATTGAAAGCAAGAAACATTTCATAAACTGTAGGATTTGCCAAAGCATCGTATCTTGTGCACACAAAAATTTTAAATTAATTTGGCATTGATATAAGCTGGTGGAGCATCAAATCAATAATGGTTTCAGATAAAATTAATTAAAACTCCAGAAAAACCAGATTCTGGGCAAGAAGGACATATGCTATCTCAGAATTGAAATTGGGAGACATAACTGCAGTACACACAATTAAAGCAAATTCAAGATCATTAGACAAGATAAATGCTATAACCATGTTCCGTATGACTTACCAAGAAAGCTCCTTCAGTTCAAATCTCTGAAAGGCCAAACCCAAGAAGTTTGTCTGCGACCTTGTCCCCAGCAGACCCTCTCTTTAAAATTCAGTTTGCCACTTCCAGCAGCTATACTAGTAGCCACTGGAATTCTACTGCAAGACAATAACAATTAATATGCAAATACTAAAAAGAAGTTTCCGCATTTAAGCTGCGAGTAAGGAAAAAGTGTCATTCTTTCATGTTAAGTGACTGTAACTATACACACATCAAAAGCTTCCTTATTGAAATTTTCCATTTTACACCTGGTTGCTGAGAAAAGTCAAGAAAAAAAAAAAAATTTGTGTTATGAATGTAAGATAAATTGATAGAGAGAGATACAGAGAGAATGAATTATGTATTGAAATGTTTATGTATTGAATGTTGTATTGATTTTCTGTGTATATTACAAGGAGATGTGCATTCTCTTTTATAGAGAGGAAAAGATACATAGGGTGGCATAAAGCAAAGGATAATTATTAAAGCTAACATAATGCTGTGCTAAACATAATGATAACACTAGCAATACTAACATAGAATACTAACATCACTAACATATAATACTAACATATTTTAACAATGAATATTACATTTTACAGCATTCTATAGAACCAAGTCATAGAGTGGAATTAAGCTCTTATTAGTGGATTTTTTCTAAGAGAATATAGAAAATTACAAATTTTATCAGTTTAATTATCTTTCTTACCTTTTTCCAGCAAACAAAAATTAGAGCCAAAATAAATATTAAAAAAAAGACCCAAACAGGTCTGATCAGAATAAGGCATAGAAACAAAGAAAAACAAATCAGAAAAAAATAAAAAATAAAAACTCCATCGCGATCGAATATAAAAAACAAAAAATTAAAAATTAAAAATCATTGCAAAAGCACCAAATAACTACCCACTCACAATCAAAACAGAAATTTTTCAATGAATAAACCTTGAGAGTTTAACACATTCAGAAAATTTGGGCGAGGCATTAAATCAAACAGCGATTGTGTACATCAAATCTTACACTTTAATCTTTTCCGGTTAAAATCCTGTTCGGTTCACAGCGATTTGTCGTAGCAAAAATGTCAAGTATGCGAACCGAATTCTTGTTGTTCGTTAGAGGATCTGAACCATGAATCTGAGAAAGAGCACATACAGATGGAGATGAATCAATATGTATGTATGTATACAATATAGAAGGAGATATCGAGAGAGAGAGAGAGAGAAAGGAGAGATGGTGAGAGAGAGAGAAAGAGAGAGAGAGGGAGAGGGAGAGAGAGGCAGGGACACCCACATTCCCGAGGCGCCCCAGCTGAGTTTTGCTCGAGAAACAACGTTAAAGTTCGCGCCATACCCTTCCTCCTTTATAAAATGCTTTATAAAATGCTTTAAAAAAAAAAAAAATGCTTTACAAAATGCTTCATTGCAGGACGGACAACAGACACTTTGGTGATCTCTTCAAAGAGGCGCTGTCTTAAATCTGCAGGAGAATGAGAAGATTTTCTTATAACAAAAAAATATATATATATTTCATACCACTAATTTAGCATCACTAATGCATCACTAATAATGTGATATCATATGGACCCCATTACTGATGTGATAGTTTGACCTTTGTCTTGTTTTATTTTTTTTTTCTTTACATTACTATATCATTAGTGATATTTTTAAAATTTCAAATTTAGTCCTCTAAATCACCACTCAATCCTTATTAGCGCAGTACGTTTTTATATTCTCTATTTTCCTTTTTTGGGTTTTTTATTTTATAAAAAAAAATCAATAAATGTGAAAAGAAAAATTAATCAGCTTGTTTACCATAATTTTTTAGAATTCACTTTTTAAAAAATTAATTTTTTTCTTATTTTCATATTTTTTTTATTACAATTTTAAAATAATTTAAGTTTAAGTAATTTTTTAAAATTTTAAATACACCTAACATAAATATATTTAAAAAGTATAATATTTGTGAATAAAATCTTTAAAAAAATTACTAAATATCAAAAATACAAACAAAAATATGAAAAATATAGTATATTTTTATATTATTGTGTATTTATTAATTTTTTAAAATATTTTTTATAAATATTTTACTTTTTAATGCATCTTAGCATATAAAAAAATATATAAAAAATATTTAAAAATATTCACTAAAAAAAACACAAAAAAAAAAACTGAATTTCTATAAAATTAAATTTAAAAAATTGAAACCAAACACAGTGAATTAAATTATTTTTCTAGTACAAAAAAAAAATGTATTTTAGCATCAAAATTTTTTTAATTTGTGCTTTCATTTCAAAATTTCTAATTTGATTTTCACAAATTGAAAGTAGTTAAAGAGGTCATTAGTAAAGGATAAAATAAAAATTCCAATACAAAAATACATTAATTTTAACTTATCATTTTATGTGATGTTATGACCGACGTTATTCTATAAACTTGGAACATGATTTGGTAGTGCCACATAGCCTTTGTAATTAGTAGAGAAGATGTAATTAGTAGAGAAGATGTAGCTCGCGGTTTTGACTTGGCGATGGAGGTCTCTTTTGGGAAGGTAAAAAAAAGATCAATTTATTAGTTTATTTAGGTCATATTATCTTTAAAATTATTTTTATTTTTATTTTTATTTTTTTGTACATTTTTTCATAATAAGCTAATAAATCAAAAAAAAAATCCCAAAATAGACCAAAATATAACAAGAATATAATAATTTAGGATTGGTATGTGACATGTGTCACATGATGCCCATTCATGAATATCGTATGATTTTCCATCCAGTGACATAATTCTTACTTATATTGAGACAAAAATAATAAATAAATAAATAGCTATACATTTAACAATGTCTAAAAAAAATTTAGAAATTAAACTTGATTTCAAATTAAAATGAAATTGTATTATCTTTTGATAAAAAAGGACGTGTTGTTGTGATAATTTATTAAAAATTAAAAGCAAAAGTGACAGCAATCAAATTATTGCCAAGTTGATGACAACCAGAAATTTGGTTTAAGAAAAAACTCATAACTACCCAGAAATAAATAAATGAATAAATAAAGATAAAAAGAAGTCAAAAACAAAGAGGACAAATATTTCGGTTAAGAGGGGCGGTAGAGAATTGGAGCCTAATGTCATGGTCTTGATTATTTCCAAGCTATCTGTGTGGTACTTAGGCAATCACAAGTGTTGCTTGGTGATGCTAAGTTAGCATAACCCACAAACTTAGAAGAAAGACAAGTAAGAAGACAGAATTTGAGAGAACGTTTTGTGTTCACTTTGAGAAAGTTTACACAACTCTTGGATTGATTGGAGCAAATGGGCTCCTCTCTTATTTATAGGCTCCTTAGGAGCATTCTAGAACACACAAGAAAATGTCATGTAAAAGCTTCTCTTGGAAGCCTTGTTAAGCTACAAGATTATTCTACAATGCCTTCTAAAAATGTCTACACAAATACAATTATCTACAAGTCTAGATATATGGACAAGTATATATATACTTGAATTCCCTAGGACCTTCAAGAATTCTTTATGGTCTCATATATGCTAGAGTTTGCTAGGAAGTTCTAGATTCTTCCATTGGCTCCTCATTCTTGCAATCTCTCATTTGGATATTTTGGAGAATTCTGTAGGGACGTGACACAAAGGTGAGTTTGGTTTTCAAATTATGATTTGAGTGTGGGATTGTGATTTAAATGTAAAGTTGTGAGTTGAGTTTTTTTTATACAAAAAAAAAAAAAAAAAAAAAAAAAAAAAAAAAAAAAAATTGTTTGGTTATGACTTTTGAAAAAAAGTTTTGAGTTTTGAATTTTGAAAAACAATTTTGAGTTATATTTTGAGTTTTGAGTTCTTGAGTTGTGTTTTGAAATTGTTTACATTTATTTTTTAAAATATTTAAAAATGCTTAAGAATTTTTTATTTTAAATATATAATTGTTATTTAAATATTTTTTAATTGTAAATATTTTATTTTATTTTGTAAATATTTTAAACTTGTAACACAACTCCACATTAAATAAGCACATAACTCAAAACTCAATTTTAAAACCATTTTTAAAACTCGTAACCAAATCCATAACTCATAACCAAATTGTTTTCAAAATTCTATTAAAAACAACTCAAAAAAAATATTTTTAATTTTGTCCTTTAAAATTACTTTTTATTTTATATTTTTTCAAAAAATATATTGTTTATTTTTATTTTTGAAGAAAAATATTTTTTATTTCTTCAAAAAATAATTTTTGTTATTTTTTTAAATATTGGCCAAATAATTTTTTATGATTTAGATATATATGGCGATCCTATTTTTTTAAATATTTAAAAAAAATTAAAATAAAATTTAAAATATATTTACAAAATAAAAAAATATTTAAAAAATATTATATATTTAAAATAAAAATAAAATTTTATAAATTTTTAAATATTTACAAAATATATTTAAAATATTTTTTTAAAAAAAATATAGCACACAACTGTACGAAATATAGTGTCGATTAAAACAAATAAATATTTACCCTAAAAATAAAATTACAAAATTTTTTAAATATTTAAAAATAATAAATCCAAAAAATTTTAAAATACAACTCAAAACTCAAAATGCAAATCAAAACTTTTTTCAAAATTTATAACCAAACAAATTTTATCTTTCAAAACTCATAATATAACTTCACACTCAAATCATAATTTTAAAAGACAAAATAAAAAATATTTTTTTCGATTTTTTTTTAAATAGAGTTTTGAAAATAGTTGGTTTTGAGTTTTGAATTGAGATTTGAACTGTGTGTTTAGTTATGAGTTTTGAAAATAAATTTTGAATTGAGTTTTAAATAGTTATGAATTGTATGTTTGGTTATGAATTTTTAAAAGAGTTTTAAATTTTTTTATTGGAATCACAATTTTAAAACTAAACCAAACGCAAGTTAAATTATTAATTGACAAAAGCTTTTTTAGTTAACTTTTTGAAGTTATGACTTTTTTAGTTTAGGATTAAAAAGTTTGTTTGATTTGATTTTTATAATTTTTATAAGAGAAAAAATAAAATAATTATAATTTAAATATAACATTTTTATTTCATTAATTTTTAATTTATTTTATTTTTTAATAACAAATTTAATTCCAATTCAATCTTAGCCAACCCAATCTACGTAGCAAAACGAAACCTAAAATAGAGCCCAGAGAAAGTTTACCGCTTCACATGGTGTCAAAGCAAGCACGTTCGTGAACCCTTGTTTCTTTCTCAAACGCAGCAACCATTTTTTTTTTTCTTTTAGCCAACACACATGGCAGAAAAAGATACCCAAATAACCCAAGAATCAGCCAAGTCTGAGACAAACAAATACGACAATCAAAATGATCCTTTCCATTATCACTCCGACCAAACTGGGCTCATACTCGTCACATAGCTGTTGATTGAGGAAAATTACAACACCTGGAGCCGTGCCATGCTCATGGCCCCCAACATCAAGAATAAAGAAAGCTTCGCCAATGACACTGTTCAACAGCCACCAATGATTTCCACCACAGAATTCCAACAATGGAGGCACTGCAACAATCTTATAGAGGCATGGTTTTCAATTCAATCTCGGAGGACATTAAAGCAAGCGTAATATACAACGAGAGTGCTCATGAAATCTGGTCTGATTTGAAAGAACGTTTTTCATGCACTAATAGTGTTCATCTTTTTCATGTCGAAGAAGCCATTCATGATTGTAAACAGGACACCATGACCATTGGCACTTATTACACCAAGCTAAAGAGCTTTTGGGATGAACGCCACACACTGTGTAATATCCCAACATTCACTTGCGGCACTGTGAAGGAGGTTTTGCAGTTCCAACAAAGTCAAAAGACCATGAAGTTCCTCATGGGGCTTAATGAATCCTACGCTGCTGTTCAAGGACAAATTCTGCTCATGGATCCACTCCCTACCGTCAACAAAGTGCACTCTCTCATTCTCTAAGATGAAAAACAGTGAGGAATATCAAAAGGGAGTGCATTGGTAACTGAAGCTGCAGCCTTTGCTGTGAGGAAAAACTCACGAACCTCTGCTAGAATTTTCACTCCAAAAAATTCTCACCTGAAATGTGGAATTTGTGACAAGCTTGGGCACACTTCAGAGACATGTCGAGCACATCTTAAATGTGATCATTGTGGCTGGAAAGGTCACACCATTGATGTTGTCGCAAGCTGAAACAGACGCATTCTACAGGTGGTAGATCTGATCAGCCAGAGCACAAGACCTTTCCCTTCAAAGCCAATGATGTTAATGCCAATTCAACAGCACCTACCACCCCCTTCACTCTCACGACAGAACAGTACCAAAATCTCATGACCATGCTTCATGGAAATAAGTCCAACTCCATGGATAATCACGTTGGCAGTGCATCCGCTATGAGTGATCTCTCAGGTACAACCTCATGTGCCTTCGTTTTTGGCAAAGAAATGTATTGGCTACTTGACACAGGAGCCACAGATCATATGGTTTGCTATACCAATTTCATAACTACAAAGTCTTGTGTTACCAACTGAACCGTGCATCTTTCCAATGGAGCACTTACTGCTGTCACATACACGGGCATCATCCATTTTGCTGATTTTTCATTACATGATGTGCTATGCGTTCCTTCCTTCAAATTCAACTTAATTTCTATTAGCAAGCTAGTTTGCAATTCCCACTACCTTGCTACATTCACTAACGATGCTTGTATGCTAC